TAGCCGACATTGAGCGGCAGTACTATGATATTAATCTAGTTAAGTGGGAAAACGTCAATGACAGCTCCAAATTTTGGGATGAAGTCTCTAATTACAAGGATTCTGGCGGCAACCGATAGGAGGCAGATTTTTCGGTGTTGACTTTGTACTACATGTCTAGTCTTTGTGTTGTTTGGTCATGACTGCACTCAACATTTACCCGATGTAGTTTTGTTTTGAAGACTACATACATATGTACATAAATTAATAACAACTTTGTTATGCTTTCTTGATATGTAAACGTTTATTAATTACTTTGGATTGACTATTGACTCGGCTTATATCGAATTCTGGAAATACTATGGCAATCTCTCGCAGCGCCGAGACTGTGCTATCTGATCCATGACAGGCATTGCGCGTGTCTGATAGACCGTACAGAGCGCGTATGCTATTGGGATCGGTATATACCGCTCTAAACACTTTGGTGGGGCCCATAAGCTGACGCCATTTTTGTATGCACGACTCGGACTGCAGTATAAAAGCGGAGCAGAAACCGCTAAAACGAAAGTCAATAAAAATGTTTAGATTTCAAAGAAATTACTTTACCTTTGCATGAAACTAGTTAAACGATAATAAAAAAATTTGTCTCTGTGTTCCACATAAAAACACTCCGATAGCTGCTTAGTAACACGCAAGTCCTTAGCTGCCAAAATATTAAAATTACTTTCCATTTGGGCTTTTAGTTGCTGTACCGCATATGTGTTACGTACAACATGCGGTTTCAATAATGCCAAAGTAATTTCCATGTTATACATTTAAATCAACTGGTAATTATATTTCGACAACGTATATAAAAAATCACATTAGAGGGAAACAGAATTTATCTACCTAGTTTACAAGATTTAACTTTCTTAACTTTATAGCGCATAAATTATAACAACATAGTCACACTTTTGACTAGGGCTGTAAATCTGTCGATGGAGACTATCAGTAGTATAAATTGATTTCGACTACTAGATAATCGATTGACATCCATAGATAGTTCGCTACATGGTGACGCGAAGAGACAATGGACAATTTCTAAATCGATGAAAAAAACTATCGCACATATCGATGTTTTCATCGAAAATTTAAAAGGCTGAACCACTGACCAGAGAACACATAGACTAGACATGTAGAACAAATTTTTCTACACC